GGAAGGTCCGGGACCATCTCCGGTACCGGCTCCGGTACCGCCAGCGGCTCCGGCAGCGGGGGTGGCTGCGGTTCCGGATCTCCGGTTCCCCCCGGTACCGGGGATGATGGAGCCGGTACCGGGCTCCAGGAAGAGCCTGTCGCTGTCGCTGCCGGTGTCCCGGGAGGGTCCGGGCCCCCTGCGCCCCCCTCAGCACCTCTGGCGCCAGCCCCGAACCCCGATCCGCATCCGCCACCGCGGCTTCTCCGACACCGACCGGCACCGGCCCCGGCCCATGGAGCGGGCGGATGCCGTGGACACCGGGGACCGGCCCGGGCTGCGCAGTGCCCGCATGTCCTGGCCCTCCTCCCTCCACGGGACCCCCGGTACCGGAAAGCGGTAGGTGACGGCGGCGAGACCTCCCCCCCCCTCCCGGTTCCCCCCGGTTCCCCCCAGCGTCATCCCCCGGTACCGGCACCGGAGGTGGAGCCTCCCCCTCAGCGTCCTCTTGGGACCGGGATTGGAGGCGGGACCCCCTCCCCCGGTACCGGTGCCGGGATCGGGGGCACCCCCAAAACCCCGTCCTGCTGCTGGAGGTGGGAGCCCCCCGTCCTCATCCCGGTACCGGTACCGGGAGTCCCGCGTCCTCTTCCCGGTACCGGTACCGGGAGTCCCCGTCCTCATGCCGGTACTGGGAGTCCCCCGTCCTCATCCCAGTACCGGTACCGGGAGTCCCCATCCTCATCCCGGTACCGGGAGCCCCCCATCCTCTTCTCAGTACCGGGAGCCCCCGTCCTCATCCCGGTACCGGGAGTCCCCCGTCCTCATCCCGGTACCGGGAGCCCCACGTCCTCATCCCAGTACTGGTACCGGGAGTCCTCTGTCCTCATCCCGGTACCGGGAGCCCCCGTCCTCATCCCGGTACCGGGAGCCCCCGTCCTCATCCCAGTACCGTGAGTCCCCCATCCTTATCCCGGTACCGGGAGTCCCCCGTCCTCTTCCCGGTACCGGTACCGGGAGTCCTCTGTCCTCATCCCGGTACCGAGAGCCCCCCATCTCATCCCGGTACCGGGAGCCCGCTGTCCTCATCCCAGTGCCGGTACCGAGAGCCCCCCGTCCTCATCCCGGTACCGGGAGCCCCCCATCTCATCCCGGTACCGGGAGCCCCCCGTCCTCATCCCAGTGCCGGTACTGGGGAGGGGGGGGAGCCCCCCGTCCTCATCCCGGTACCGGGAGCCCCCATCTCATCCCGGTACCGGTACCGGGACCCCCCCAGCACCCCCCAGAACCGGAGGTGTCACTTGGGGGTCTCCATGGACCCCCCCCAGAACCCGAGCCGGGGGTCCCCCACCCCAACCACCTCCGTTCCGGGGTGATCCCGGTGCTGCTCCCCGGTGGGACCCTGGGGATGCCGGGACCGGGATCTGCCGGGATCCGGGAGATCGGGATCTACTGGGATCTGCTGGGATCCGGGAGATCGGGATCTGCTGGGATCTGCCGGGATCCAGGAGACCGGGATCTGCTGGGACCCGGGAGACTGGGATCTACTGGGATCCAGGAGACTGGGATCTGCTGGGATCTGGGATCTACCGGGATCCGGGAGAACCGGGATCTACCGGTATCCAGGAGATCGGGATCTACCAGGATCCGGGATCTGCTGGGATCTGGGATCTACCGAGATCCAGGAGAACCGGGATCTACCGGTATCCAGGAGATCGGGATCTACCAGGATCCGGGATCTACTGGGATACAGGAGACCGGTATCTGCTGGAATCTGGGATCTACCGGGATCCAGGATCTACCGGGATCCAGGAGACCGGGATCTGCTGGGATCCAGGAGACCGGGATCTGCTGGGATCTGGGATCTACCGGGATCAAGGAGAACCGGGATCTACCGGTATTCAGGAGATCGGGATCTGCCGGGATCCGGGATCTACCGGGATCCAGGAGACCGGGATCTGCCGGGTTTGGGGCGGGGGGCTGCAACCCCCACCCCCCCCAAAGGATCCCGTCTGTCTCTTCCCCTTCTGGAAAGTTTTTTTCGGGAAAAACAAGTTGGGATCGCTCCGCGTCCTTCCGCCGGCCCCGGCTTCATTAGGGGCGTTAATTGATGCGTTAATTGATGCACAGGAGGCTCAGCAGATGGTCGCGGTTCGGGGAAGCGGGGGGTGATTTCCTTCCTCCTCCTCCTCCTCTTCCTCCCTTCCCCGTGGATGGCCGGAATCCCCCGCGGTGGGACCCCCTAAACCCCCCCAAATCCCGGGGGATCCCATCCCCCTGCGACCCCCGCCCCTAAAGCCCCCAAATCCTGGGGGATCCCATCCAAACCCCCCCGAAATCCTGGGGGATCCCATCCAAACCCCCCCAGATCCTGGGGGATCCCATCCAAACCCCCCCGAAATCCGGGGGGATCCCATCCCCCTGCGACCCCTGCCCCGTTATCCCCCCCCAGATCCTGGGGAATCCCAACCAAACCCCCCCCAAATCCTGGGGGATCCCATCCCCCTGCGACTCCCGC